CTTGAATATCTTTCCAACCTCACATCATTGAAATATTTAAAGCCATGATAGATGAGATTGTTTTCTAAAAATAAATTGTTTTTTTAATTAATTCTTTTGGTTATTTAAATGTATGTATTGTTATCAGGAACACGTAATAGGTTTATTCCATGCTGAAAAGAGAAGAAAGAAAACACAACGTTTTGGCCGTGGAGGCTTCATCAGGTGTCATTACTGTATGTTATTGTTATTATGTTTATTGTTAGTATGTTATTTCCTTAAAGTTGGTATAAATGGGTGTGATTGTATTGCGGCTAACTTCTTGCAAAGTCTCTTTTGGAAATTTAAATCTTGAACTCAGTGAGACTTCCTGGTTAAATAAAGAATACATAACACATTCATTAAACTAAAAACATAAAGGCTCTGATGGATTCTGCTCTTTTAACTATTTTATCTTTTGACTATTTAACAGGCTCTTTTAACTATCACATTGTTACATTGTCTTCTACAGAATTCAAAGACTGATTAGTTATTTAATATTGCTTTTCAATATGTTTAGCTTTCTGTTACAGAGCTTTTTTTTGTATTGTAGAAGCAAGAAGTAATTGCTTCTACTTACAGACCTCCTAGCTTTCCCCAAAGACAACATATTTATTTCTGGATTGCTAAAACAAGTTTTGGGGTATAAGGGATTGATAGTACCAGAGGTACTATCTTCTAGTAGATGCACTTTGTGGATAATAAAGGATATGTTAGTGTCACAGTATTTGTCAAAATAATGCTAAAGGGAAGGTCTGATTTCCATTGTTTCTCATAGATTTGCAAAGCCTATCTGTGCCTATCACGTGCCTTGTGATGTAGCTAACTAGGAACAAAAGGGAGTGTCTTGATGCAGAGAGTGTACTTATCTCCTTGTGAATTTGTTTGGCCATGCTGGGAAGTTTACAATGCTGCATTATGGTCTAAAAACCTGCGCCACCATGGTGTTGAAAACATTAGGTAGTTGGCTTTAGCTTTAATACATCCATAAATTAAATTAAATTCAAAATGCTTTATTCATCCTCATGGGGGAGCAATTAAGCAATTGCTAAATAGAACTAAAGCTATGAAAAGGAGTCTGATAATGATGCAATACATGTCTCCACACATTGTTTCAATGTATCAGTCAAGGAGCACTTACTCTGTATTCACTAGGCTGGGGCTAGTGGCTAAATGTATGTGTCTATGGGTAACATAACACAACACAAGTCTTGGACCAGTTGTTCAGGGATAGTACAGATTTTCTTCCAACCTTATGTGCATATTGTCCAGTACCCATTTTTCTTACATGTTTTTCTGATTCCTCTGATGTTGTCAGGATTCCAGGGCTTTTTTTTTTTTATCCAAGACAACAAAATCTGAATACAGCTTTTTTGCTAGATTCAAATTCTTATATACAGTATATACTGTACAGTATATGATAACTCATGTCAGTGATGCTGACATGGAAAACATGCATTCACATAATCTTCTTAATATCTGCATGACTCAGAACACATTTGCATAACAACTAAGTATTAGAGAATTACAGTATAAGAAAAATATGCAACTTCAAACTTAAGATATTTCATACAAACCATTTCTATATTCTCAATATTCTTTTGTTATTAATAAATTGGTCATTTGCCTGATATAAATTTGTTTCCTTGTTGGCCACTTGTCGCTTAATATTGACTCTCTCCAATCCCTTATTCATCTGTTCTTAATTGGATTAGTTGTAATATACCGTACAGTCAATTATATAAAGCTTTTAAATCTGCATTACAGAGTGGCTAAATCACGTTTTAGCACAGTTGCACAGAATTGTAGGTTTCTTTTATAGCCTAAAAATAATATAAGGTCAAAAGACAAACTCCAAGATATGTACAGGAAATTGTCGTTTTCAAATAATTTTATGAAAAACTGTTTATGTGAACAATGCATTAATAAACAAATAGCAAGTAAAAACTTTATAACTGAATTTAGAAAACTTTGTAGCTGTGTTCCATTCCCCAATTCAATGCCTGGAGCATAAATTTGGCTCAGACAGAGCAGCCATTCATGTGTACTAAATAATCAAACTAGTGACATTCAAGCATTCTTGGAGTCTTTCCATTCATTTCTTCTCTTCAGATATCATTATTTTCTCCATATATAATCCTCTTAACGATTTCTACCAACTGCCCTTAGCTCCTTACTGACATTTTACAAAACTAACTGGACATGCAATTTATGCATTTATCTGTTTACCAGATCTTTACCACTGTCATATACTTGGGAATAAATATAATATTGTTTATAATTTGCGGTTTTCATTGCAGAAAACAGTTTTCTGACAGTAATATGAGGCTTGATGTCTGTCAGAAGATTTTTTTCTAAGAGCAAGCCACGATTAAACTGTGCAGTCCAAGCAGAGCCTTTCAGATTGTTATTGCTTTTGCAGTCACTATACTGTATAATGCAAGTTGGGTGCTTCAGTAGGTGATCTTTGATATGCTATTTTAACTTATATAACATAGAAAAATCAACATTTCATTGAGTTTTTCAACAATATCTCATTGAGAATTGTAACGAAATATACATATGCGATATACATACTGTACATGCATGAACAATGTTGCGTTTTCCAAATTAGAGCATTTAAATTCCAAAATACAGTTTTGTTTGCCTGACAATACTTAAATATATATATAACCAATTCGAATAAAAAGCAAATTATTTGACTGCGCATTTACTGTAATCTGAAAACTGAGAATGTATTTTTGAAGAGATGTTTCATGAGGGAAGAGATGTTTTTTTAAAGAGTATGTTTCATGTTCTCCCACAGCCCAAAAATACACCATAACGGAATAATTCTTCCAATGTATACATGTTCTTACTGTAGTTATTTTAACTTTGAAATACATGTTTTGTTGTAGTCTGTCTCCGACAATTAACGTAAAGCGCAAAAAGTATTTCAGGCGGAAAAATCGTTTTTGCGGCGTTTGCTGAACGCTTGTTGGAACGTTGTTATCTCACAGCAGAAAGGTAGTTAACACTTTTTCAGAGCCGTTAAGCGTGCAGTTTTTATGCATTCTACTGACAAAATTAACCTTGAAGTGCTTCCATGATCATCGAAATTATTATACAATATTATATTTAAAACCATCTACTGTATGCATCCGACAGAATAGGAAAGCCTGTTGATAATAAGTCTGACATCCTAAGAACATACAGTAGATCATAATTACTAAAATCGGAATTGATATGCCAAGTCACTTTTCCCTAAGGCACTACTGACCTTGACAAAGGAGTAACCTTAAGTTCTTGCCTGGGTGGTAATTTAACGAATTTTACAATTGTGTCTTTGTAACACTGTGCGGTTTAAGGTTACAGTTTACAATACAAGAGGGCTGTTAAAACAAGATTCACAGTAATCACATTTTGTTCACATAGCCTTCAACAAAAACCTCAAAATAGGAAGTATTTGTATAGTATTTGATGAACTAACAAAGCACATTCAACAAGATTGGCTGTAGTAAACCTGCAGAACAGAACGCGACAATGGCCAGTGAATAATTGTTCGAAGGTTTTCCAGATAATACTATCGACTCCACTGAGGAAACAAAAGGCAACACAGCCAAGGTTTTTTTTTCTGTTCGCCCCTTCTGTTTCCCCTAAAAAACTATTAACTCCCAAGACATTCTCCTTCTGTCGCGAACACTTCTGCGGTTAAGTTGTAAACAGAGGATAACATCACCTCCAATAATTGGGAAAAGCTAAGTAGTTTAAAAGGAATTAACTGTTGTAAGAAAAGCACTAATCCCCTTAGCAGCGTGTGGGCAAGAGTTTACCAAACTGCTGTCAATGTTTGATTAGTGCTAATTACACGTATTTCTTTAATATCGAGGAAGTTAGAAAAACATATCAATTATTTCCGTCTTAAATTAAGTGAGAATTCTCATTTAGAAATATTGCTCCTTGTAGTAGGAAATCAGTAAATTGACATTGTAAACTCACTTAATTGTGAATAAATAAATCACATAGTAATGTGCATAACATATCACAGGGAATTCCAAGATTTTAAAATAAGTGTGTAATAATGATTAAACGTTTTCAATATGTACTGTAGGCCTGAACTTCTTATAATTTAAAACTAGTGGTCTTTATTTGTTTCAGTCTCCCTGTACTCGTCACACTATTGAGTTTGGACTTATGTGATGTTACATACAATAAATGATAGCCCGAAGTTTCTACAGATTCAAATGTCAAATATGCAGTTTGAAAGGATACTGCTGAAGAACTAGCCTAAAACTCTTAATTCCCAAATAATTAGATACATAAAACCACACATCGCTCTTATATACGGTCCCTATTCTTAATTTAGTCAAATTTACTCAGTCCCATATTTTTGGAAATTTTCTTAGATATTTAGCTTTCATGGTTTAAATGTAATATTGAATTAGGCCCAATGTACAACTACTATTCTTTAAAATTAAATTAAATGTACAGAAAATTAACTTTTACTGTAAACTCTCTCTTTACTGTGAAATTGGGAGTACTTGAATAAAAGATATGATGTATAATAAGTACATAATAGCATAAAAATAAAATATTATAGCAGTGGTAGCAGCCGTAGTAATACTATTGACCTGGCCAGTAGATTTAGACAGGCCTATGTGATTATTTCCCTCTATCATCATAAATGAATTCTACACTTTTTTTATTATATCAGTGTTGATACACATTCTGATCAAGATGCCAAACGTTAATCTGATTTGACATCTTGAAATCTGTGTGCTGATTATGATTGTGTAATTATTATTTTGTTCTACCTTAAACTGTAATCTCTAGCAAGCCCCTTTTGTATTCGAGCCATCAAGAATATGACATCTGGAAGAGTTAAAGATGGTTTTAAGATTTATGTAAGGCGGTTTATAAAAGGCTGACCTGTTACAGTATCTACAAGAAACTGGGAGGAGTTAAAAAATATCAGCTCATTGGGATACACTGTAACCCTGCAAACCAGGGGCTAAGGGAATCTGACGTTCTTGTCTGACAGGCCAGTAGGGGCTCTCACTGGGACAAAAGGTTGTATCCGAGGAGTTCCTTTAAAAACCCAGGAAGGAGTGACAACGGCACTCTTTTCCAGCATCATACAGAAGGTCATTCTTCATTAATCTGGAAGATTATTTCTTTCAAAACAGACCGTAGTCAGCGCTCTGTCATTTCTCTTTGTGATACAGCCGTATCAGTGTACACTATTTTTTTACATCCATACTGTCCGTTCCGAGAACCAAGTATTTTTATTTACATCACACTGAAGGGGAAAAAAAAGTTGTATCTTTAAGGACAAACTACAAATGTGTAGTTTACACGCCTTACATATGAGGAGAGACGCTTTATAGGGAATTTCTAAATGCAAAAATTCTAAAAAAAAAACTATACAAACAAAACCACATTTATCACACCTGCTTCTTGATATATTTTTCCCTTCGAAACTTGTTCAGGAGGCTGCCAGTTGTCCGCGAAAGCACATGCGTTTCCTTGGAGCACCACCTGAAGAGATGGAAGAGCGACTTTCTCCTTCAGGTAGTTTAGTACGAAGTCCCGGGAACACTTCGAGAATCCACAGTATTGAAGCAATTTTGGGATTTACTAAAGATGAACATATCCTTCACCCGGCGTTTTCCTCAAACGGGACGACAAGACTTGGAAAAGATACCGAACGGAATAGCTCCAGGAGTTGCTGTAACAAGATGTCCCCTCTCAAGAAAGAGCAAGATTCTAAAAGTTTTGAAAGTAAGTTATCATGAGCAACATCCATTGAAATGTATGAGTTTTGTATGAACATGAGTGACTGATCACATTTATTTATAGATGTGTACAAATGCTATAAATTAGTTGTGTAAAAACCTCTGTATTTCGTTTACAGTTTTTGTTGTTGAAGGTGTAGAGGTCAGTGTTAAATTTTTGAATGAGCGTCTGATTGTTTTAAAAGCATTGACATTTCCAGTAAAATACACGAGGGTATTAAGTGTAACTGTCTGCTGTACGTGAGTGAGAGTTGCAATTTCACAATTTGTGTTTATTTTAATGCAATGGTCATTTAGGTGTAGTGATTTAATGGAAGATCATTTTTGAATTTGGAACTCCTTGGAATTTTTACCAAAAAAAGTCTAAAACTAATTTGAATCACAGATAAACTGCACATTGAAGTTAAATTCATTGCATGTGCCCATTTATTTCAGATGTGTATTGCACAAGTAGTTCGGGACCTTCAATCAGTCCCGATCTACCAGAAAACGAGAGCAAGCTGTCTGATGAGGACCATCCGAAGAAAAAGCACCGGCGGAACAGGACTACATTTACAACTTTTCAGCTACATGAGTTAGAGCGAGCCTTCGAGAAGTCCCACTATCCCGATGTGTACAGCAGAGAGGAGCTGGCGCTCAAAGTAAACCTGCCTGAAGTTCGAGTTCAGGTAAAACACGATAAGCAATACTACTTAACTACTCAAATACTACTAACGACTCGAGTCATCGCGATTAAAATGAAGGGCAATTATGACCAAACAAATAGTAACAGAAACCCAAAGAAATCACAGGTTAGTTCTTTATGCCAAAAATAAAATTAAATCGAATGATTTACTTAATTGTAATAATAATTTAAATTGATCTTTAATACTATACAAAATGTTGTACTAAAAACATTTTGTCTAGAATAAGAGTACACGTCACATGGGCTTTTTAACTGTGTACATCAAAAAATATATTTAAAATCAAGCCTCTGGTTCCTGCATAGGATGTCCTGCGCAAAGTATACAACCGAATAATATGTTATTTAAACGAGAATATATAAAAAATATTGACACAATATTGATCATGCAATGGAACACGGTTCTTTTAAACGTGGACAAAACAAGGTATAATTAGGCAGTTTTTAAGATTTTTGTTTTATTGTGAATTTTCAGTTAAACAAAGGTATTTCACATACTGTCTTGGAAGCAGTCAGGGAATCTAGATCTAAGCAAATTAATTTAAATCGGATTTTGCAAGCCGTGTCAGGTATTTTTAAGTACATTTACTAAAGAAATTAAATATAATTCTCTTTTAGTTCTTGGGGTAAAACTGTTCCTCTAATTATTTGTAGTCCCCCTGTAACTGTAAGCTAGTGATAATTCTGTGCCTTTGGAATAGTTTTACTTTTGTTGAAGTTGCTGACAATGATTAGTAGTTGTCGGATAATTATTGTTTTTTGTAAATTATGTGAAAATGGCAACTGGAATCTCCCTCATATCGTTGCAATATTATGATCTAAAGCAATACAATATTTAGATACATAACGAAAAGTAAACACCTGTTTTTTCTAACTTCTACGTGTTTCATACTTCATACATAGGAGACGTTTTATTCGAGTATCAATAATAAGGCTTTGACAGTTATAGAAAAACTCATAATAACAGTATTAGATTAAAATATAAACCCCATAAATGTGAAGCTCATATAGTAAAACCTATTATTTATTATCAAAACATATTTAAAATTAAGTCATAGATTGTTTTCAAAAGATTAATAATCCAAGGGCCCCAAAATCAAAAATTGTTTTAGAGCTTTAAACGGCCATAGTAAGCAATAGGCAGGGAAGTGGTGCAGTTTCTGAATATAGAAATAACAAATGTTGCTTAAGTGAATACTTCGATTTACATGAGTAATAGCGTGTTTAGAATATGTTGATAAACATATGATAAAGTTACGGATAATAATGCATACAGTATTTTATTCCTCTGGTATTATAACTCATAAGTAATATCTAGATATCTTGCAAGAAATCTATTGGTCCTATTTTAACGGACAAACGAACCGCCAGTATTAAAATACGTTTATTTTAAAGCTTGGACACATTATTAAAAAGTCACTGAGGAAAAACCCTGATGGTTTCTCATGTTTGTTATTATTATTATTCACAGACTTCTGCGTTACAACTAAGATATAAATTATGAACTTTGTTAAGGAGCATTTCCTCCCGCAGTTTAAGATTGAAAACAGTTTGTCTTTTGCATTTCGCACTTAGGCATTTTATTTAAAAACGCTTATATTTATAATTTAAAAGTGAATTAAATTGCACACGTTTCTCACAAAGCACACTCATACTAAAAACATGGACGGTTATGTATTCAGAGTATTTGTGTTGTATTTATTTTGTTTCACTGGGAGTTATTTATGTCTCCGTTAAAAGCGGTGCAAAATTGAAGGTCATTGAGGAACATTTAGCTCTAATTCACTCTTCACTATGATGCAACCTGTCAAATAGCAAGAACTATATTCATCAATGGAATCTGTTCTGCAAATGCTATAACATCTGTTGAATTCTTTGTTTTCAGGTATGGTTTCAGAACAGAAGAGCCAAATGGAGACGGCAGGAGAAACTGGAGGTCAGCTCAATGAAACTTCAAGATTCCCCCATGCTCTCTTTCAGCAGGTCCCCTCAACAATCCCTGAACAACCTCAGCAGCAGCCTACCTCTGGAGCCCTGGCTGACACCCCCTATCTCCACATCCGCCACTCTCCAGTCTCTACCAGGCTTCATGCCTACACCTCAGGGGCTCTCAAACAGCTACACCCCTCCACCTTTCCTCAATTCGACAGCCATTGGACACAGCCTTCCACACATGGCTGCCATGTGCCCACCACCCCCGTATCAGTGTGGAGGCTCTCCATTCATTGACAAATTCCCTTTGGAGGACTCTGATCCGAGAAACTCTAGCATTGCCTCCCTGCGGATGAAGGCAAAGGAGCACATTCAATCAATTGGAAAAACATGGTAGGGCTGTAAGAGCTATTGTCCTCTGTATGAAACTCACCACATTTGCTGTGTAATAAGTGCCATCGGGAAGCAAAATGGTCATGATTCCAGAATCCATAAGCCCTTTTTAAATGGGTGAAAGCTTAAATCCTTTTGTCTTTTTAATGGTTATTTTGAGAACAAAGCAAAAGTCTGTTTTGAGCTCAGACTCATTGTTTAGATTTAATCTAAAGAAAGCTATTTATGTTTGTTTGTCAATATGACTATCATTAATCAAAAACTGAACGTAAACGTGAAATTCTACTGAAATTCTTTCACAGATATTGTAAAGTTCTGTTAAGCACACATACAGTAGGTGTCTTATTTTATACTTTTTTTCTATGTGCACCCCAGAACATTTTTTAATGTAGAAACACAGATGTTTATTAAATGCGTCCTTCATTAAAGGTTTCTACAGTTTTTTTTTTCTATTGCTGTGTGTGGGAGGATGTTTAAAATTTACTTAAGCCAATAGTTCTGAGTAGTAAATGTTATTTTTATACTATACTTTATAAATATAAAGGAAATCATTCTGACACAACCCTTGTATTTCAACAATGAATTCATTTGACAGAACAGAGTACCTTTTATTACAGCTAATCAATTGATACTCTGCAACATCACAAAACAGTTGCAGTTTGGTAAAGACATCTGCAAGTACATATACTCCAGGGGATGTTGTCAAAGCATTCTTTACAATGTTTTCACAGCTACAATTTAGCATTAACACAATGGTATTGTAAAGATCACTTGTCATCCTGAAATCATCACTGCAATTCTATGTCTGATTGTCTCACTTAACCAAAGCAGACTCCTGCTGTGTCATTTTACAAACCTTGGTCAAACGTTTTGTCCATGATAAGAAAACCACAGGATATTACAGGTATGGAAAGTTCTCCTTCTCCTTTTTCTGTCTTACAGATGACCAACTATAAAATAAATGCAATAATGTTCAGAAAAATTCCAAGTGGCAGGTGTGATGCCAAAATATCAATGTTCATGTTTTTGTCAAAGATTGAAGGGGAACAAATAGCATTTCGTTTGGTCCAGATTTTGTTTTGTTGCTTCTGAAGATGTCCATTGTTGAAATATTGAAATATAAAACTGGATCTGTTTACATTTTTTTTTAAAATAACTCAGTTCGTTTTCTAAACCAGGCCAATCAGAAATGTCAAGTGTGCTGTATGGTTGAGCAGACCATAGTAATATTCTCCCTTCTTCAAATTGAGGCTTTTGAAAACATTCCCTTCTATACTGATGTACAAAGAAATCCAATAATGGGGTCTAATGGATTTCTTCACATAACAAAGGTATCAAACAGAGCCATACAATTTGTAACAAAAGATTAAAAAAACGGGTTAACATCTGAGTATGAAACATGGGACACTGTCAAAATGACAAAGACAAAACTACAAATTTAGAGTTGGGTATGACCTCCATAAGCATTTACAAACTCCTGGCAGCACTGGCACATAAGCCTCAGAAATCTCTATATGTAGTTCTGTGGGATGTTCTGCTACTTGTCCTGTGCAGGCACAATCAACAGATGATGGTTGGTTTCAGTTGACTTCTGTTAATGGTATTAGTAAGTTGGACCCACAGATGTTCTATTGGTCTTTTGGTCTTTAGAAAAGTCAGGACACAGCAAGATGTCTGTAATCCTGAAATGTTTACAATTTTTCACCGTGATTCTAATACTGTGTGGTGATTCTTTGACCTTTTTGAAAGTTGATGCTACTTGGTTGGCTTGGAATAACAAGATATTTGCCACACCAGTCTCACCATTGATGACATTCACTAATTCCAAAGCCCATATACATATACATATACATATACATATACATATACATATACATATACATATACATATACATATACATATACATATACATATACAGTACATATACATATACATACTGTAAACAAGAATATGCATTTATTTTCACCACTTGTCAGATATCCCATTATCTTTCCAATAGACGTTATGGGTTGTTTGCAGTGTGTAAGAATAAGAATGATAAACTTCAACATTTAAAATTATTCTAGTTAATAATGACAACAATTACCCTAGACCCAGCAAAGGATCAATATGCTTGGTGTGGTGTGTTGCAGTGAAGATTAATTGCCTTTTAAAGGGAGGTATGTCACTGGAGAATAAAAACAGAAAACATGTTTAATTGTTTCACAGAAAGTCTTCTTCTTTCCTAAGTATATAGTGTCTTGAAAAAGTATTTAAACTCATATTATGGTGTCCAGTTTTGTGAAATGACTAAATGATGCATAAACCATCCATCCATCTATTTTCTATCTGCTTTATCCAATTAAGAGTCGTGAGGAGCAGGAGCCTATCCTGAAAGCAACATGCATAAAGCGGGATACAGTCTGGATGAGATACCAGTCCATTGCAGGGCAGGCACACTCACACTCAAGTTCAAGTTTCCAGAACCCAATTAACCTACCAGTATGTCCTTCAATTGTGGAGTAAACCAGAGCACCCAGGGGAAAACTACATGAACACAGGGAGAACATGCAAACCACAGATAGCACCCCAGGTCTGGAATTGAACGCAATAGTATTGCAAGGGAGCAATGCTAACCACTGTGCAATTGTAGCACTCCTATTATGAATATACTGTACATTTTTTTAAAGATTTATTCAAAACCTAAATGCCAAAGATTCTTACCCAGCTTTCTTTACTAGTTCAGGTGGGTAGCTGCGTCAGCATGTGTAGGCTGCAAAGGAAAAAGTAATAGGTTTATTCCATGCTGAAAAGAGAAGAAAGAAAACACAACGTATAAACAAATAAACCTATTACTTGTTTCTTTACTAGAGCCTGCTATTGTAATCAGTCTTCTCCTTTCTTTTGATTTAGTCTGGACTAGTAGGTATGCATTCATATATCTTCAAATCACTCATTTAAGTTTTTATTTGTCATAATCTCAATTACTTGTTTTCATTAAATGATTAAAGCAATAGAGAGGGCAAATCTAATTTTATTATCAGGATGATTTTAACAAAACAGAGCTATGACAATTTACATTTCTCATTATAGGAAACCTAAAGGCCTATAAATGCCCCCATTGTTAAGTATGGACTATTCAATAGAGAACAAGATCTTCATTTAATTTTTTCCACTCGTTGTGCTAAGACAAAGACCAGCTCATAATTGTATTTTCACAGTTTACTCGCATCTATTTGAGCTCCATCAAAAACAAACATTTCACAAGCCCCTATTTTACTCTAGGATGGCAATGCTAACCTAAAAAATGATATAATCTTAATTATCTGTGTTATATAGGAATTCAACAACTTTTTTTTCTGAATCATCTCACCCTTTTATTCGCACTAAAATAGTGATTTCATATCTCTACCAGCATGAACTTCAGAAATACAATTTTTCAATTAAAAAAATGACCATTGAGAGTGATTTTTTTTACCAATTTGGAGAGGCTACTAGATAAAACATAAATATTTATTTAAATTATTAAGTATTTCACATACTTCACATGTGCTATACTGTATATACAGTATATAATGTTACTTCCTTCTAAAAACAATGCATACTCACAAACAAGGTTTTACTTAATGTTTTTTTAAGAATTCTGTTTTAAAATGAATTGCAGTAATGGTATCTCTATATAAGTCTTATCTGCTTGTATGCTTTCACTTTTATATAGTTCCTTTTCCTAGTGAGCAGCACCCAAAAGCCCTGGACAGAAAAAATATTACCTAAGGAAATCCAATAAAGTAAATCTGTTCTAACACAAGACGATGCCAAGATTTGTAGCCAAGCCAGTGGTAATTATTCTAATTTTCTGGTGCTATTGCTTTAATATTTCTGTAATGAAGAAAACTGGATAGTCTACAGCTACCTTATGGTTTCTAATTCAAGTGTGCAAACCATGGTCCTATTGTAAAGTACGTCAACAGCACTTGTTAATATGTTTTTCAACCACTCCATTTCATTTTTGGATAGAGCTACAGGTATGGTGCAGTTACATTTGAAAGCACGGAAAATAGTTTAGAAAAATATAAAAAATAATGTTGTTTTAAATGTAGAGATACGTTGCATCACAAATAACATACTGAGCATCTGCAAAACATATCACATGTAACTTTGATAAAGTATCGAAGTTATTATCAGGAAAATAACCGTCTTTTCTGTGGCAGATGCATAAATGTTTTACTGAACAGACGTGGTATGAATCAATTAATTATTCTTCTTAACATTTGTCAATAGCAGGGGGACTGCTGTCAGAGTCACTAGCAGTAGTATGTGTAGCCATTGTTGAGAAAAATAAAATATAAGCTGTCCATTTGCTTTGCACCAGTCAGCAGAGTATGAAACCCTTCCTTTCATAGAAATGCTTACCTGTTCACCAAATTTTGATACTTAAATGTCACATTGCTCCAAATCATGCCACAAATGTTCAAGGCACTTCTAGAAGGGAACTGCACCCTTGGTATAGCTTTCACATTGTTATCAAAATGAAAGACAAGTGGATAGAGGACATACTCTATATTGTCCACATGGAATCTTGTCCCATCAGGTAAAGTGTACAGTTGGGTGCTAGCTGGGGCAGATAAGGAAATTAATGGATACAATTTTGTGACATTTAGGGAAAAGGGAAGATCATATTCTGAAGAAGAGTAGACCAATAGGAAATTCTTTTCTGGACAGGAATATGAAATTGGGTGTTTTATGGGACAAATAGTGATAGTGATAGTGATAGTGATAGTAATAGGGTGGAGCTAAGAATCTGTGAGGGCCTGCAGGGTTTAAAGAAATGCTTTCAAAAGGGCTGTTGCTGGTGATAACACATTATAAAGGTTTGCTTGCCTTTAGGATTAGCTCTCCAGTTCAAAAACATGAAGGATGGATAGTGAAAGTGAGCAGCAAAAGTACGTCAGAATGTCCCACCCACAAGCAAACAAAGATGAAGATTTTCCACAGCTCGAACTCAGCTAATAAGATCTTGGCATCTTCTGGGATCTGGAAAGTGTACTTCTAATAGTTTTCATGCCACACTAAACTTGGCACAAAAGTGTTGCTGCCTTATATATACATGAGTTGTACAGTACAACTTTTTGAAAGCCCTGCTTAACTGTGCCACAATTGAGGGCAAGGGAACCAGGTCTGATTGGAGAAACAATGACAGCACAATTTGTGCTGTGAACAACTACATCTCACGAACAGTAGAAAAGTTTGAAATTCTCAGTTTTTATAGTATGTTAACAAGGGTGAAAAGGGGGAAGTAGAGGAAATAAGGATTGGTACAAATTCTATTTGATCTTATTGTTAACAGAACATTTTTTATTATTTTTGTGTTTTTTTATTTTTTATTGACATTTTCTCCTTTAAGTGCAATCAATTTAAAGTTAAACTCCAAAGGCAAAATAAAATGAAAACATTCTGAAATATGGGACTGGTGAGAATTGGATTTCATTGTGGTAGAGTATTTTTCGATGGCCAACACAGGTATGGGCAAGATTAAAAAAATGCTGATCTTTTTTTTTCCGGTAGTTTTCTTTTTATGCAGTACTTTACAGAATGCAGACCACTAAAATAGATTGGTGACACAGATACTTTGCAATACTATGCAATGTGAGTGACCCTAATGCAGTACATCTTCAAAGCTGGGAACAAGACTAAGGCAGTTGAACAAAACTCCATTATTTTCTTGTTATGTGGAATATAAAGAACCTATAAGACACTTCTCTGGTTTCTTAGCGCCATCTTGTGTGTGCCTTCATTATTTAATTCAAAGAGGACTTCTGATAACCACTTTATTGTATGGGGAGGGTCTAATGAAGTCTTATCAACCTAATCATGCTTTATAGATTGCTATTTCATTAGAAGTAATGAATTGAAAATAAGCATAATTCGAAAAACAAGATGAGGCCGGATGATGCATCTCTGATTCATTTTTGAAAGTGCAAAAGCTATTTAAATATTTTTAAATAAATAATCCATTTTGGTGCTAGTACTACATGTTATTTATTCAAAATGCTATTCCTTGTGATTTATGTGTTTTAAACGTAGCACTGAACCATATTGTTGCTTTTTTCACAATGTAAATAAAGCAGACAAAGACGGAAAACTAGTTTAAATAAATGCCTTCAAATTATAATTTAATTTTATCTAACAGAGTTGGGAACACTGTGATTATTACAAGTATATGTTGGTGCAGCACAAGTGTTAATTCATAAAATGATTAAAAGTATTAAAAATGCTTGATTGCACTCCATGGAGTTTGATTATTTAGATATTATGGTCCATTCCAAATTTTTATTTACAAAAATGAAATTAATTAAATTTAAACCATCAAAGCACAACATATTTGGTTAATGTAAATTGATTCAAGACAGAAACACAAATTATATTTCAACACAAAAGCAGTTTGTCTGGTAGTATTAAGAGTAAATTGCTTGAAAAGAAGTAAAAGTCTCTGTAATTTAAGTTGATTTTCCTTCTCAGCTGGGGTTGTTATCCTTCATGGTGAGGGCTTGCAGGAGGTAGTTTGTCACCTGAGAACAACAAAAAATAATAAAATATTTTGAAAACTGTAACAATGATATAAGATGTAACTTTATAAGGTGTGGCTGTCACTCTCTTTATTAAACCACCTAGTATGAAACACTGTAAACTCACCCTTTTTGCTAATACTGTATCTGAAAAAGGAGTTAATACTGTACAGGTGCTGAGAATAAAGTGTTATTTCAATTGTAAAGAATGTGCTAGTGTTCAAAGATAAATAATTATTTTAAGATTTACAATGAAGTGCCCATGGATAAAGACTGTAGTGATTTAAAAACCAGAGTATTTGTTTGAGGTATAAAACACTTAACAACTTTTCGTTGGTGTTATACTGTAACTGAGTCTTTCATGAAGATGTTACATGTTGATATTAACCCACTCACAATCTAAAATGGCTGAACCATTTAAGCTGAAATAGTCCATATTCCCACCACACTGAATCAAAATGACATACTGTATGCTGTCAAACTAGTAGAGTATATGTGGCCTTAGGGTCAACTCAGGTGTGACCTCACTATATTGCTCTTGTAATCAGTATGTATTGATCCTCGTACTTTTTATGTACAAAGCTGTTAAAAATGGACAGCAACCTATTATTTATATTTGCAGTTCTTTCATAGTGTTAGTGCATTCAACTCACAAATCGTTCATTATGATGTCCTGGTCTATATTTCTAAGTGTACAGTAGATTTGCTTTGTTCACCTGAGTGAGCCTTTTGATTTACAATTGTCATCAGAACTGGAGAAGAATTCTGTATAGCTTAAAACAAGTGAAGGAAAGGCTACTAAAATGAGTCATTGGTTTCAAATCCTATGTCCTTAAATTCATTAGTTTCTTAATTGGAAATAGGCATCAACTCTACACTGAACATATAGCCTTCAGCAAATTTTGATTAGCAGTTACACTTCATGTGACCATGATTTCATACATTAAGTGTTATTAATATACAATATAGTGAAAAAACATATTAATGAAAATGATATTAATTTCATCACTAGTAACTCTTTTTCCATTTTATTAAACTATTGTCTACCTCACTTGTTTCTAGTCACTTTGTATGTCATTTTATTTCAGTTATGCCTACAACACATACTGTAGGAAAGTGGAAAAGAAGGTGGGATAGGCTGAAATTTGTGAGGTTTCAAGATTTCAAGGAAATGAAAATTAGCTTGATTAGCATTTTATATTTTTTTATTCAACTGTATTCTAATAAAGGTAGACTATAACGGTGTTTGCCGGAATCAATGTAATACAGCTTCAGTAACGAAAGTTATGCTGTGTATGTGATAGTCAATATGTAAACTAAATTTGAACATTACACACAAAAAAAACTTCACGGGTATGATTTATTTTAGCCAAAAAAACATTTCTTTTTACCAAATGATCCCACTGCACAATCACACGCTTCTTCCTCCCTTGGTTTATACTGTATACGCCCAGATAATCCAATGACTGTCATTCCTGAACTAGTCTCCTGACCTCAGATAGCTTCTTTCATCAGGCTAAACAATGCCAATCCAATGGTGCAAGACCATAACTGTAAGGCCCAGGTTCAACCGTAGCTCCTCAGTGCATTACATTGTAGTTTTTGCTTTGACACAGTGCACGAGTGATGTCCTTTTCCAATAAGATCTGCAGCCTCAAGGCAGAAACCATGTGTCGAATGCAGCTCTGTGAATTTAGTATCTAAGCATGGACAAAGAATGCATGTTCTGTATGTGGAGTGTGTTAATGCTTGTTTAACACGAGCATTAACTGAAGATTACAAAGAGTTATGTTCTTAATTGATACAGCTAAATATCTGTGAGAGCCACGCTTGCTAAGAATAATTCTCGGCTGTTTGCTCACCTCCTTTAGGTTGCTGCTCTTGTCCCTTGCCTCCCAAGCATTCTTGCTACTGAAAGGTATATCTTCTTCTAAAAGTTGACCCATCTGGCTATTATTCCCATCCAGTGCCCTTATCATGATTTTGATAAGTTCAGACCATTTCAAAGGTCTATCCAGCTCCTTGGCTTCCTCCCCTGTTGATAAATAGAGGGTCCCATCGCCCTCCTCGTATCCCAAAGGGAAATCGATGCTCTTCTTCCCCATCAGATGTCCTGTGATACAAGAACATTAGAATCTTGATTCTGAACTTTTTTGTTGTTTTTTACTTCAGCACAATTTAATTTTAAATTTAGAGCATTATTGTTTTTTTTCTAGCGATTGTAAATCAGCTTAAATTAAATATTGTACTTGCTTTAATTCATCTTTGTTTCGTCAAGCAATCTGGTTAATAATATGGTATATAAAGTTAAGAGAATATAAAGTCTTGTCTGTCTTTAGCATATCCAGAAAACACATCCAGAAGACTCAGCTAGCATTCAATCATGAAACAACGTCCAGAAGATAATAACAATCCCAGGCAGAAACTGATACTTTATTTTAAATATCAGTGGTGTTTATTGTGTATATCTGTTAAATGAAAAACACAAGTTAATAAAAAAAAGTTTTGACTTGTGAGGACGATTCCCTTACTGTATGGAACAACTGTTTAATTTTATGCAATCCAGCAAACATTACATTTAACTACAGCAATTACATTGTAAAATAGAAATACTGAAGAAAGTACTAAAGACACTTCTCGGGGAAAGTGATTCTTGGCCTATTTCTCAATCTGTCACAACCAGTTAACAATCAGACTGATTTGTTTAAGTGCATATTTAAGTGCTTTTTAAAAGCAGTTATTTGCAGAAAAACAAAAGTGTTATTCATAAAAGCCTTTTATTCATTGACAACCTCTTTAACAATTTGCATACATTTGTGTAAATGTTCTTGCAAAAATTCTAGACATTAAAAACATTATGTTGCTGTCTTAAAGTAGCGATTTTTTTCATTTATCACGTCACTAAAGGTAACATATTTGTATTGGTTTCTTTTAGATTCTAAACACTACATCCATTTTTTTTATATTTCATATTTCTGTTGTTCTATAATGTCCACCAAGAAAAAATAATAGTATTGCCTATGACAGCATGTTAGAAAACAGTAAATCTGCTCATTCTACAAAAGACATTTTATTTAGGAATAACTTGATGCCGTTGAAAACTGAACATTTCAAAGCTTCATGTATTAAATATGTATTGCATCTTCATTTTTTTTCTTTCATTGTTGATATAGAGTTAATGTACATGAAATTGACTAACTGCCTTTGGAAATCATCAGTGCTGTCACTGAATATTTAAACTACTGTATATACATAGTTCCAACAGCAATGTTCTAAGACATGATAGTCTAATAAAAATATTTATCAAATTAACTGTAAACTTGAATAGATACAGTATATAATCCATATACATCACAGACTTCCAGGGGGTTTCAGAAATACTTTGTATGATAAATTAGATACTTTTTTAATGAAATTTGTAAATACTACTTGCAGAATGAGTTTTCAATTAACCTTAAAGAGATAACACAATATGTTACACTGTTTCGGCATGAGAAGTGTAAATGTAGTAGGTTGAATATTAGTTCCATTATTATTATTATTATTATTAACGGAAAAATATTGTTCCTATAGTTAAAGCTGGCACTGTAAACAATACATTTCAGGCATTGTGCTACAGAATAAAAAATAAATATACAGTAGCATCTGACCAATAATAATAATGGAACTATTACTAAACTTACTACACTTACACTTCTCTTTTCTTTTAATTTAGATTCATCGATAAGATTTCCAGTACAGACCCAATTTGGAATAGCCAATTGTGTTTTCATGTCTTGGCTCTTAGCACATTGCAGGCTTTAAGGACCCACATTGGAGGTTTAGTGCTGAATGGAGGAGAAAAGTATACCAAACCAATATCTCTCCAAGCATGCATGTGAACCAGAGCCAACATGTTATTCTGTCTTGACACAACCTGAGAAGCCGGGCCTACTAATCCTGGCAGTCATGGTCAAGTGACTGTGGGGAATCTGTGATCCCCACACAGATCCAACAACGAGGGTGGAACCTCAGATCACGATCAAAATCAGCTGAGACACTCAGAAATATTTATTTGATTAGCTGCATATAATTAATTAATTTTGCATCATTTAAACTAAGAAATTGAAAATTGATTTTAATGTTTAAACATCCCATTGTTGTAATACTTAAAATATATTCAGTCAGATTTTAGAAGATTACACCAGATAAACATTACAGTTCTAAAGAGAAAATTAGTTTTCCTTTAAAAATGTACAGTATGCTTTAAGAACAACGAAAGGTGAATTTAGATTTCAGAAAGAATTGTGTTTCTTCTTCCACCCACCATTGGCCATCCTTTTTTGGCCGAGTGACACAGTGAGATCTGCATCAGTTTCATTTAACCAGCTTAGTCCAATGAACAAATCCTGAAATCAAGTATGAAGAACTCAATTGGCCATTTGCTCATTCTACAGTTGCACACAAGCAGATTCAGACCATGACTGGAAGGTGGGAGTACTGGAAGCGTGTCCACAAACAGGCTTAAATAACAAAAACATTTCAATGTTGCCATGCAGGGGAGGGAAATAGATGTTATGTTCTGGTCTGATAAATAAAATGCAACATACATATGAAAATTCTTTTATTGGCATGAGTCAGTTTCATCTAAAAGTTTCAAAGTTTTTTTTTAATTTAAAAAAGATTTTGAATTATAATATAGTGCATTTTATTAAAATATGATATTGCATGATTTAAAAAAATGCACCAGCTTGACAACAAAGTATCAGAAGTACCCTTATATATATACACTGTAGATTATAATATACACACAACTGGCAACCCACTCAAGCTAAGCATGTGTGAGCCTGACTAGTATCTGGATGGGGACCTCCTGGGTAAAACTAAGGTTGCTACTGAAAGAGGTGCTAGTGGGACCAGCAGGGGCTGCTCACCCTGTGGCCTGTGTGGGTCCTAATGGCCCAGTACAGTGACAGGACACAATACTGTAAAAAAAGGTGCTATTCACCGGATGAGGTATAAAATTGGGTTTCCGAATCTCTGTGGTCATTGTAAATCCCAGGACGTTTTTCTCGAAAAGAGTAGGGATGTTACCCCAGTGTTCTGGCCGAATTTCTTCCGGCCTTAACCAATCATGGCCTTTTAATAGTTCCCATCTATGAATTGTCTTCATTTCTCTGTTCTCCTCCCCACTAGTGATAGCTGATGTGTGGTGAGCATACTGACGCACTTTGGCTGCCGTCATATTATCCAGGTGGATGCTACACATTGGTAAGGGTGGAGGAGAATCCCCATTATGTGTGAAGTGCTTGGAGTGATGTTTCCAGAAAAGCGCTATATGAGTGTACATTTTTAATAATTATAACGATACATTTCTTGTACATTTTGAAAGCTATTTTAAAAGAATTAGGCAAATATTCTGAAATACTATATGCATGTTATAAATACATTAAGGTCCAGATTTTTGCTTCAAAGTTAAGTGGCTTTTGAGACTTATGTCATGCTATCTTTGGCCCATCATCTTCTTAGAGGTATTCACAGTGAACTACAATATCATACAAGGCTTCAGGCAGCATGATTAGTAAAAATGGTGTCGACAAAGGACTTCAGTAACTCAGAAGCCTATCAAGTGGATTTCAAAAAGCAGGGTTAGTTTCAGCAGCCAATGCAGCATTTTGCTTTGAGCTTCTGATTCACAAAGTGATCCCTACAGTGTCTTGTAGTTCAGGTGACCTCGCTCCCCAAACAGTATACTTTGACTTTAAAATACATTATTTTATCTTTATTGTAGTTTCACAGAGGCGAACACACACAGGGGGAAGATAAATCTTTCATAGGCATTTCAGTATTCATTTCTACAGGATATATCTAAAGAACAATTGCAGCATTAAAGCAACAAATTAATGCAATTAAAATTTACATTTTACTGACAAGACATTAAATATTAATCAGAATGTATAAAACTTAAAGCTGATTGAAGTAATTTATCTGAAATATACTGTAACTTAGTGAAACATTTCTTTCATCCTTAGCACAGGATGGTAAGAGAGGTTGGATGCATCTGTGCTCTGTAACCAAGTAAATTCCGTATGAGGAAATGAAAGCACTCCACAGCTAATTTAAGATGTAATACAACCTTTACCTTTACACCCACCCCCAAACTCTACAAACCCTAAAATCTATCAGGGCAAATACATAGAAAATCCCCAAAGACACATAGTTTTCCTTTGACTACACTGCTACTGTGCGCATTATGTCACAAATAACCATTTTTCATGTTGTTTGCAGCAAATGTTTTCAGTGCATGTGAAGGTGAAGTCAACCAATTACTGTACATAATTTTAGATGAGAAGAAACACGAATTTTGTATAGACCATAGATCATGATAGACTGGATTGGATTCAGTCAATACTTAAAAACAGATCTCTGAAAGTTCTCTGAAAGTTTTTATTTTTAGTTTTTTAGGAATATTTGCAAGTAATAAGACACAATTTCATTTTCCTAATCATTTTCCTAATCGACATAGCAAATTTTAACTTTTTGTTATTTAAATGACCTTAGACGTGTAATTTGCCTGGTTTCTGTACTGTATATTGCACCGCACCACTGTGGTACTGTGTCAGGAAAAAGGGGGTACTTCTGTACAAGTGTTTATAGTATCTTTCAGCGAGCACTTAAATATCGGCAAGATAAATGGAAAAATGCTTCTGTCTGGTCACTATAGCACCCTAATCAATTTACCACATTTATGTTTAGTAAGAATAAAGTGCATGCTAAGAAACAATAAGACGTAAAGAGAAGTATTAGACAATCATTTCCCTTCGAATTCACTTATTTAAGAATCATATAACGATTATTTTTTACACAAAACCAATATTTGTTCCTTTAATCACCCTGGACCTTCCTTCGTTTCTCTTTATCTCACTCTTTCAGAAAACTAAATATTGGCTACAGAAAATAAATGTACAGAGCTCAACCCTCTAAAATTTCAATAGGCATCGATTAACTTTTAAACATAGAGACGTGCCCTTTTAAAATCACAAGCATCTGTAGAAATGATAGCGAATACCGCTGCGTGTGATTAACTGTTTGAAGAGAGCATCGAATTACTGTAAACCTCCTGGTCATATTTCATGGTCTCGACAAGTAAAAGCTTGAAACTGACAACTTTCATACTTGCACTGATGAATATATTATTATTGTGATAAAGATTTTGATCATAACGATACATTGAAGTGCCGTTATATCCACATATTCAAAAGCGCGTTTTTCGCACTTAATTGGCATTTAATTAGATGCACTGCTTTCTAGTGAAATAATAAGGAATTAAATGTTTTGTTTGCTGAGTAGCCCGCTCACTATATCTACCCACACAGACGCAGACACAGAAATTTGCGCCCACATCTCCTTTCAAAATACATATTTTGATTCTTTACAAACCATTTTTTAGATTATGTTTATTTCTTATTTCATGTGGGTTCTAAAGTTCAAGTTTACTTTAAAATTATATATACTGTACATAGTAAAATATCAGCTTACCTACTGCCCAGTGGCTGCCCCTGGGGTACATTTTGGCAAGAGGTGCTCCGTTTTCCACCGGGAATGATGAGGCAAAGTTAACTCTATAAACAATTACAATCAAAAAGATAAAAGAAAGTACTGATCTGTATTTCCAAAATAGAAATTCTGCGCCCATTGCTACTGTAAAGACGCGCGCCTAGAATAGAGGATAGATACAGTATGTCAGCTCTGGGACTCACTTTTTCGTTTCTGAAGAGATGCATGCGTACCTATCCTGCAGTCAATTTATAAGAAATCGTGACGAAATCGGTACAGTGACCAAACAACCCTGACATGTGATTTCTGTGTATTTTTCTGCAATGAACTGGTGCCAAATGTCATATTGTATCTTTGTGTAGATGAAGTGTTAAAAGTTATATATCCACTTCAAATACTTGTCACGTCAGCAGCCCTTTGAAAACGGCCAACCTGCTGTTATTTAAAGACTTATAGCGAGTGATTAAAAACTATTTTCTTCATCGACGGGTTTTGTTAGCTTTTCAAAATATCCTTTAAAACTGTCAGCGTTGTCTCATTAACACTGATATGTTGTATTTTCAGTTAATATTGTCGGTAGTGTTAACAGGTTGTTGCTTGCTTCCTGTCAGAATACAGTATACAGTACAGTATGTGCAGATGTTTTGATTATTATGTTCGCCACAATGTATCCTACTCTGTATACAGTACAGCCATAAATTGTTCGATAGTAACGCACCTTCTGTATCCAAATATAAATTACCTAAAGCAAGCTGGTAGTGGTAGAAGTGTAAAGTGTACAGTAAGTGACATATTTACCTGTTCCCTATGCTATAACATGCATCATTATGACTATTATATTATGATAATGCTCTATATTATAAACTTATCATCATATAATTAATTAATTATTTAATGAATATTCATTATAGCTTTTGGCTACTTCCTTTGTAAAAGAGCAAATGAAGGAAAAAACAAATGGTCCAGTATTTTATTCATTCACAAAATAGTCCATGTAGCATCCACATCTACTATCTACTATCAACAGAGTAGTGTCACCAAAGTAAAAACATTAAAAACATATCAAATCTTAATTTCAAAGCTTATTCTTCCAGTAAAGCTTGAAGTAAAAGCAACGCCCTATAGTAAACCTGATTATTAAGTGCTTTCTTTAAAAGAGAGATGATAATCCAACTGTAGGTTATTAGATCTTATAATGCTAAAACTATTATGTTGACTCATGGCATAAAATCAGTATAAATTCTATTTAACTTTTTGATTCATTTCGCAACTTCTGCAGCCTTGGAAGATTATGGACCCCTTTCCACAGAGCTTAGAAAAGACCAGATAATCATGTCCAGGATTCGGGGTACCAAACTCCCAGCAACAAAGAAGCACTAAAAGTAATCTCTTGTGCTAAACTTGTAATATTTAAGACAAAGAGTTAGCAATTTTAAAGTATCTTTCTTTGCTGAAAAATTTGCTCCAACTATTTTAAATATTTAACAATTATATTACTTGTGAAAAGGTTAGAGGTTCACATTTACAACCTCTTAAACTCCTCGTCTTCATGTTACCTGGTCAATTTAGCTTGTAATCCACCCAGTGCTTCATGAGATATGCCTTACTAAACAGAGTAATGTACTGTACACAGCCAACTTGTGTTCATGTACACACACACATTGAATTTTGCACCTGCCTTAAACTGCATTGTGTATCATGGAGCAAATCCAAACTAAAATTATACAAAACAAAGGTTAGAAAAAGGCTGGTTGTGGCACAAACTAAACCATGTTTCAAGGATGGACATGACCTATTGTATAATATTCAATTTAAATGCCTACATATGCATTTCCTTAATTGTCCCATCGTGGAGTACTTGTTTATTATTGTGCTATTTTAGTGAACTGCCTGAAAGGCTAAAAGCTGTACTTTGTTCTACTAATGTAAGATATGTAAAATTTCATAATTTTATTGGTAACAAAATGTATAGTTGTTCACCTGTCTATAACAAATCTCTTCACTCTAGGTGCATAAGAACTACTGAAATGTAGCCACAACACAATTGAGAAGTAATTTTGAATAACAATACAATGACAATCAGGGAAAAGCTGGGAATTGAGAGAAGGTGAAGAAATTGCATTTAATTTACTGCTTAGATGCGAAGGGCTGCACACTTAGTTAACCTTTGTCACGATAAGGTGCTTCAAAGGCAATGTCAATTCAGGTTTCTAAAAAAAGCCTCTTAGGAAGATGTTTGTGCTGGAAAAACACAGAGGAACAGAATGATGTTGTTTGCTTGACACCAGCTCAGCCAACCAACTTTCTCAGTTTGATATACTGTATGAAGAGCAACAAATGAAAATCATGAGGACCACAAAACCCATCCCTCTGTGATATCTCCCTATTTCAAAGGACACATTGTAGAGCAGTGAAATGCAATACACCTCTTTTTACCCTGACAGCAGCTGTCTTCTGCAATTGACAACATATGCATTCTTGCCTTTTACAACAACATAATTTGTTATGTGATCTGCAAACAAATTTGAACTTTTACATTAATTTATGAAGTTTCTCTAACTCATATCTCTGTCTGCCTATGTCAGACCAGGATATTTCTAAGGAAGATAATGACCAATGTACAGTTATGAAAAGACAAAAGGCCAGGACATCACAACTTCATAGTCTTGGCTTTACCAAGTTCCCATCTGCTCCAGCATGACAGCATGCAAGGGACTGCTTTCAAAATGTCACAGGGGTAAAACATAATAATGCACTAAATATCAGGAATGTTTTAAAACCACTATGAAGTCATCCAGATGAAAATGTAAAAATTCAAAGAACTACGTCAAGTGTTTTGTTCAATTGAATAGGTTGGACATCGATTCATCATATTTGTTATCTTCAAACGGTGAGTGCCTCATTATCTCTAAACCAATATGTTCCAGTAAATTCATGATAATAGTTTCAGACTGATATAGTGTTGTTGTTGCTACCCGTTTCTAAGGAGATAGTGAATCAGTATTTAGGACAACATGCTCTGCACTTCTGTAATTGGAAGCTGAAGCTAACTATATGCACAAAGCATTGTGGGACACTGATGAGCAGTGCCATTCTGAAAACTCATATAAAGTTAGCCCTACAGTTCTGTGCATTGTTTTGAACTTTTACCCTACCCACATTATATTCTGGATCAAATACTTCCAGATTTTCAGAAATTTAGCCTGATGAAGGAATCTCTCAGAACAACTTAGATGATAACATGACCTACATGGCAATATAAGAATAGCTTAGTGACCATTCAGTTAATTATAAGGCAATCCATAACCTTGTGTGGAAGTGCATAAAAATAAATTATATTTATTATATTATATCCTATATTCCTTGGGAAGAGAAGTAACTGTATACAAGAAACTTTTCAAGATGTCTTTACGAGAACATGTTTTTTTCAGGTGTTAAAAGATTAAAGGCTGTGGATATGCAGTTGTTAAGGAATATAATTAACAGAATGTATAATTAACTATGTATACCTTGTGTGTATTCCTAAAAGTAAAAACACTGACACTCACGCATTGCGAATATGCGTTATTACAACTATTTTCTAAATCATCACACTGTCTGTTAATTGAAGTAATGTGCACACTAGTGATGCACGGGTCAGCTTTTGGAATTCATAATTACTTTGTAATGGGTGAACAATAAAATTTTGCTCATGTCTCAATTCATATGGTAAGATTTTGTCCTTCGTTTGTCAGTGAATCAAAATCTAATATGGATAGTGCTCTGCCATTGACCAATGAAGAATGAATGCAACAGTACCAGTACAACAGTCTTCTGGCATTCATAGGTGACAATGTGAAATCTAAATAATGGCTTGGAAAAGACAGAGATTAAATTAGTTGTTTGGTTAATAGCAAACAAATATCAGCTATTGTAAATTAAAAAGATTTTTCAAATGTGTAGATTCAAGATTTGAAGAATTATATATTGTAATCAAACATATTATAATACACTGAAGATGCATTATTTAAATGAGCAAGATCAATTTTGAATGCCAATGACTAAATATTCTAAAAATATATTAAAAAATATACCTGAAAATATCCTGCAACTGGACACGCATTTTCTCTATGTCCACCACTTATATCATCTGCAAAATATGACACTTTTTTGTGAAAACAGTCTCCAAATGAACATCTTTCCAAGTCAGAAGTACAGCTATTCAATTTAGAGAAGACCCATAGCACATGAACACAAATGGTTTTTATCTCAAATTATTGTATGCTTGTTTTAAATGTGTGTAAATCAACCAAATGTATCTTATTTTGTACCCTACCTTATTTCTTGGTGTGCATTTTCTGCTTGTCTCCATACTGGCTCATTTTTCTAGAACTCACTTGAAACTGCTGTTAAGTACCCGGCTCAAACACTAGTTCAACAGCTCAAGGAGATCTCTGAAGTCACCAGAAGATGGCAGTGTTAATTTGTGTTGTACAAATCAGAGTGTATATACAGGCCCATATGTTTATATGCACAAGTATGAGCTTGTCAAAAATGTTTAATAAAGTATCTGAAACTGATTGTCTTGAGAATCTGTATTAAACCATTTTCTTCTGGATTGCTTCCCAATACTCATTCAGGAATTCTTTATTTTTCGTGCAAAACAGATTTTACAGGAAAGTGCACCAATCTTTGTAGGACCTTTGATGTATCTTTTTTGCAAGTCAGGTATCTTTTTCACAAGTATCTGTTTCACAAGTCACAAGTCTTCTTCCTTCTTCACTGAATATAGTATTTTGAAAATGTGTTTTAATTAATTGTTGCTAGTTTTTATTACATTTTACAGTTGAAATGTACAGTACTGTAACATTTAAAGAAGGTCTTTGTGTTAACATAATACAGTAGGTTGTAATATTGTTTATTGATATTTTTTTATTACTATATTCTATCCAAAGGAAAAAATAGCTCTGAGTAATAGCGGTTTCATTACAGGTGTGAGTTTGAAGCTGAATTAGTGTAGGAGCTATAAAGGAAGATGTACTGGGTATTTTTTACACTGAGAAGTAGAAAGAAGAAAAATTGTAATATTTTGTTCACATGTTTTTTTCAGATAATACCTTCACTGGTGTAAATTTTAGTGCTGTTTTCCTGAAATGTATAGCTGTTACCATAGTACTCTGTACTTATTGTTGTAATTTGTCCCTTACTGCTTACAACTAGCCAA